TCTGAGGAAGAAGACAGAAGCACTAACTTTCCTGATGTCAACACTGTTGATACTTTTCCCCTAGTCCTCCAGAGGTCCGGGGCCTGGGAAGGTTTGGACTGGCAGGAGTGAGTTGATGTTGAATTCTGGGAGAACCAGCAATTGCATTTTCAGCAGTGGAGAAAGCTGTCTACCATGAGCTGACTTCACCACCATTGGTGAAAGCTTAGTCAGCTTGCATCTCTGTCAAAGTGAGCTGAAGCCATCAGACCTTCACAGCCCAGGCTCTCTGCCCCAGCTCTCTGCTGCCATGCTCCAGGTGAGCAACGTCCTGGGAAAGCATGCAGCTCTGGTCAATATTAAAAAAAAAACAAACCAACAAACCACAAAAACCAAAACAAACCAAAAAAACCCAAACCTGACCTGGAGAAACAGCTGAGGAATCAGGCAGCAAAGGTTTTCAAACAACAAAACTTAATTGCCTGAGAGGACTAACATGGCCTCCGCCTTGTGGGAGGACAAATCAGAGGGAGGGCAAGGGGGCCTAGCATACGGGCATTACTTGGTGCTCTAGGCCATGGCCTGCAGCCTCTCCTCCCACGGCCTTGCCAGGCTGACAGAGCAGATCACAGAAAGATAGTCTGTGTAATTAACATCCAAGAACTAACCAATTCCTGATGGTGTTGAAATGGAGCTGACACAGAAATATTTAGGGAGACATGCAAAATTAAAGGGCACCCTTATCTTAGAACCGTGCATATATAAAAAGCAAACGTGTGTAACTGAACCAAAAATCTTGTCTATGCCTTTAACCAGGAAACATCTATTTCTATGCAGATAGTTTTGGACTAAAGAAAAGCCCTAAATAACTTATAAGAAATGGGATGCAGAGCTTTTTTTTTTCTTTCAAATGCAGGTCTGGAGCTGTTCTGCAGATGATCTAAATGACTTTGATGGTTTGTAGCGGCACATGAAATATTTGTAGCTAAGGAGAGAACTAAAATTTAAAGGCGTGGTAGGATACTTGAGCTGTCAGGGTAGATGGCTATCTTATTAGTCACTTGCATAGACTCTGCATGCTTCTAGTTTAAAAAGAAAATGTTTTTCGATTTCCATTTGGTTTTGGGCCTACTTTTGTGTTAACGTTTGGAAAACTTTTGAGTATATTATATCTGAACTAGATCTAGGAGAGAATAATTTATAATGAATAATTTATTTGAGAAACTTCTTTTCTTTTTCCTATTCATGGCTTTTTTGTGAAGTGCTGATATTTTTTCAGAAATGTATTTATAATTTAAAATGCATCGTTGGACACTTTTGTGATATTTTAGTGCAGAAATGTTGATGTTGTTTGGGAATATGATTGTGGTACTGCTCTGAATTACATTTGAAGCCTATTTTTTATGTATTAACATTCCTCATTTTTGATAGTTCAGTGGGATATATTCATGGAAATTAACTGCATAAAGGACACACAGGTCTTCAAGGTAAATTCAAAAGTTTAATGAACTGTTCATGAGCTTTTCTTCCTACTCAAATTTAATAATGGTGAAAGCACCCCTGAAACACAGGGTAGTTTCTGGGGAAAATACAGAAATGCGTTCTTGATTTAGATTTTTTACTAAGTGACTACTTCTGGAAATCTTTTGTTCAAAACATAAAGTGTTTTTCAGATTCCGCTTTGTGGTTCATTGGTACATTGTACAGTACAGCTTATTTGACAAGGAGTATGATCGGCCATGTTGTATTTCTCTGCTTATTTCTTATCATTTACTTTTTGTTATGCTATTTAAATTTCTAAAAGCAGATGAAATTTCCCCCTCTTTCTCAAGCCAGTTGGGACAGAGCAAGGTCAAAGGTCTGGAGTGGTCTTTATCAATGTCTGAATTTCACTGTCTTTCCACTTACGTTTAGCCTGAGGTTTTATATACTGTTTTAAATGGAGAAAAAAAATAACATTCATTTGTGAACAGAGAAACTCACACGCTTGCAGATTTGTCAGTGAAGATAATTACATAGGTACTTAGTTATGCAGGAGAACATAGGCAAGCAAGGTGTAATCATGAAGGGCTTTGGCTTGCAGGGTCTTGGTGTAAGGTCAGTCTGTTAATGGCACAATACACATGCACAGGTGAAGATACAAAGGTTAAGTTATCATTAGATGGCTTATACTATCAGCTCTCTTAATTTCCTCAAGGCTTGTCAAGCAGTGTGCACAAGAAGCCCTGTAACACTCAAGGACCCCTTGGAGTAATTTTTGAGGCTTTACTGGGAACAGATACTGAATAAAGGAAAGCTGACCTGCAGTGAGTAGAAATAGGACAAGAAAATATTTAGTCTTTCAGAAAGCTGTGCATAAGGCTTTCTGTGCTGTTGCATAAAATATTACTGAAAAATTTAGTATGCCCAGATTCCCTATGGGGAGAAAAGAGATCCCCACGTTACTCACATTAGTGATGGCTGACATGGTATATACTTCAGCACTTCATGGCTGCAGATTTCCTTACTTAAATTGAGGCCAGGTATCTTGTGCTACTTACCCCACATCTTGACCTATGCTGCCCTTTCTGTTAAATGTATTTAAACAAGTACAACTATGCAAGAGACAAATACAGTGACTACTCCTGAAACAGTTGAAAAGTCCTCCTAAAGACCTCTCTGCCAAATCAAGTGTAGCTGGACGATACTTTAAAAAACATAATGTCAATGAAGATCAAGGGAAAATTATAGCCAGAGCCTCAATTTAAGGTCTTCTCCTATTAAATGCATTGAAAATTTAAATTTAAAAACCTCATGAAAATCAAGTCTTACACTGATTAGTCGGCTTCATTTATTTATTGATATTATCTCTTTTTGGACTGCAGCTTAACTGTGGAATGCCAGGTGTCTCTGTAACAGAAAAAGCTGCAAAGATTTACTTAGTGTTATCTCTGCTTGTAACGTGTAAGACTATTAGCTTCAAGGCTCCTTTTCAGTGTTCACAAGTCAGTGCAGGGTGCAAGTTATAGCATGTCCTGCATTCACAGAAATGAAGAATCCTTCCTTACTGTGGCACCAAAATTAAAAATGCCTTTAATAATGACTTTGCCAATTAATTCCTCCTTTCCCCGCTACACCATGAAAATCTCTGAAGGTTAGATTTAATTTACAGGCGCAAGTCCATAGTTACAGGTGGTTTCTGTGCCACTCTAACAGGAACTTTGGAAAGATATTAATGTTTATAATTACTCTTTATCTGCTGTTCTTGCACTGATTTATTGGTTTCGTCATTTTCTTTGTCCTGTACTCCTGTAACTGGGTAATTGAACTGTAGAAGATAGTAGAGTGGAGTCATTGCTTATCCATTTGCTTTCTCAAATAATACCTCTTCATACCTCTTTTCTCGCAGAAACTGTAAGAGCATTTAAATATAAGTCTGTGCCCTTTCAGTCTCACCATAGGAAATTATGCTTAGCTGAGCATACCACAAAAGTAAAGGCGCAGCACAACTCTGTCTGATTACTAGTAGTTGCAACAGTTTCCTAGCAGTAGCATAGGGTGAAAATATCACTTCAAAAAATATCATGAAATATTAAATAAGTATAATCCAAGAAGACTGACAGTCTGAGACACGTGGGGAAAAAAATGTTAATTTCTAACTGAGCAGGTTTTCATTCAAGTGGAATTTTAATTAAATGGTGAACATAGAGAACATCACAAATCTAAACTGTGACAACATAAATGAGACAATAACTTTTTTAAAATTATTTTTAACCCTCTGTGCTGCACAGAGAGGAAATGTTGGGGTCCATACTGTGCTCTTTTTCCAGATTATTTTATATTATTTTAATTACAAATTAAATGTTTTACACTATTACCTTGAGATCAAGCCACTGCAAACAAAAGAAGTAAGGAAAAGAAAGTATTATTTTGATATTACATATGGAGAACTGAAAGAAGATAAAATTACTTTGAGTCACAACGAACTGTGGTAAAAGAGGAGAGAAATTAAATACAAGTCTTAAGTGACTCAAGTTTATATTTTACTCACAAGACCAATCTTTTCCTTAATGTTTAATATTAAACTCCTTCATAATGAAATTCAGTTAGCCCATATAGGATCAAGCATGATCTTTATATGAGTGAAGTGGGGGGGGGTAAAAAAGAATTAGAGAGAGAAGAATCCACCAATCAGTAAACGCAAGGCTAGGATAAGGAGAAATATTAACAGAGATTTTTGGTAAAAAGAAGAAGCCAGGTAGCCCATTTTAATACTGAGTTGAAAGCAGTCCGGAGTAATGGTAGAATTGAAACGTTTGCTTACTTACATGTCAGGTTAAAATTAAGCCTAATAAGATAATTTCAGAAATCTTCTTTTGATTCCAACGATTACATTGTGGTCA